ATTATTATGCAGTCCTCTTTCCTAGTCTTATCTCAGTCTCTCTCTTGCTCCGTAAAATCCGTCTGTTCTAACCCTTTTTCACCCATTTCACTCGACTCCTGCCACCACATCTGTCCTACTCGAGGCATTATTCGCCCTTAACTGGGTCTGGGTGACTAATTCGAGGCGCAAGCCTCTGAGTATCATGGTCACCCCTTTGCTACATGTACCATACCTCTGGTACAACCGATCAACCGTCAGCCAACTAGCTCTGGTCCCCGTCGTCTCTATCCTGTTTCTATCCCTAATACCAAGTCTATGATTTGCCATGCCCCAGTCTCTTGTGTGTCAACCCACAAATGTTGTGGTACAGCTTGTTTTGATTTGGTTCAATGTTGAACCACAACGTCTGTGGGTTGGCACGCAAGAGACTAGGGCATAGCAAGTCATAGACTTGGTATTATAGATAGACCTTGTTTTCGCAACATGTTCATATTGGTAGGAAGACTTAGAGGAATGCACCTAGTCTGAAATCCATTGTATGCATAATCATTTCCAAAGTCGGACCGTGGACGTGGTACATTCCCAGACGTTTCGCTGGCATCGTGAGTGAGTCTCGCCATTCGTGGCACCATTTAACAACTCGTCAGAGAGACAAGTGAAGCTGATCCTTTGACAAAACGTGTACTAAACAGTTGTGATATATCCCCTTCTGCCCTGGGCTATTCATATTTCCTATATCCTCCTATCACGCCTTCCCTGTCACAATTTTTTACCGTCTTATTTTGATGTAGTGTGGTGTGTTCCTTCAAACAACACTCGTGGAAACCCTTCAAACTCCACACAGTCATTCTCACCCCCTTCACCCTTGTGCTAGGAATGTCGACCAGAGTTTGTCATATTGTTACGTAGTCCTTCCCTGGGTCCTATTAAGGTCTCCCTCTTGTCCCGTATAATCCGTCTGCTATCTCCCTAGTACACCTATTTCACTCGACCCCTGTCTTCCCATCTGTGCTACTCGAGGCGTTATTTGTCCACCCCTGCGTCTTTGTGACTAGTTCGAGGCTAAAGCCTTTGAGTAAGTCTCATGGTCATGCCTTTGCTACATGGGCCACTTCTCTTGTTAAACATACTGTCAGTTAACTAGCCCCAATCGCCGTCTCGTCTATCCTGTCTCTATCCCTAATACCAAGTCTATGAATTG